AGTTGAACTCCTGCATTGCTAAGTGTTGTGTATTGCACTTTACATGAGAGGAACCCTGCATTGGTAAGTGTTGTGTGCTACGCGGGGGTAACAGGGCACAAATCAGACCTGCAAATAAATTAAGTTCTACACAATATATATTGCAAACAAATTAAGTTGTAGTCCAGAGTTGGAGGTGTTGCAGAAGTAAGGGAAAGCATCTCCTCCTTCCAGAGGGGAGGAGTTGTGAGCGGGAGCCGTTTCTCGCATTGGCTGGGGACTTTCCGGCCCCTGCTCAGCTGTCCCGGCTGCTGCACCACACCTCCCAGCAGCCAACCAATCGGGCAGAGGCTTGGGGGCGGGGTTTAGCCACTCAAATGCAGCCACGGCAGCACTTCCCTCTCATTGTGCTGCTGGGTTACGTCGGATCACCCACCCGCCCTCCCTTTAGTTCATTGCTTTGTTTTTGACCTTGCCATGGACCTGTGGTTGGTCACCTTGGTTGCCCAAGGGGCCTGGTAGGAATTTTTATCCAGCTGGCAAATTAGCACCAGCCACTTGGTTTTTTGCCCGCCTCGTAGCAAATCGTCACAACTTTTTGGGTATTGACGGTTAGGTATTGGAATATGTTGGTGTATTGGAGGGCAGGGTGTGGACATTGCCTACCCCTCCACTTTATGGGTATTCCGTTAAAGGAATCTGGTGGTTGTGGATCTTGTCCAACACCCTTGTTGGTGACTAGGGCCATGGCATGACCCCTGGTGACATCAGGGGGAGCTTACAGTTGTATTTGCATCAACAGGCTCCTCCTACTGGTGGTTAACCCTTGATAGACTCACCCCTTCCTGAGGGGGTGGAGTCACACTCTATGGTTTTATCCAGTGCCTAAGCCAATACCACCCACATGCTGTAATCAATAAAGTTGTGACCTTCTTTAGCCCATTAACCTAATATACTGCGCCCTTGTGTCTTTCTTATCCTCAAGCGGGTGGTGGGACCTTGACTCACAAGTGTGAGGCACCTACTATTTTTTCTTCTCCATGTGTTGTTCACTAGGTAGTAAGTTGCAGTAGGCTTTGGAAGACTAGGATTCTCACTGGGTGATACTGGGCCAGTCAGTCTTACTTTCCTAACAGAATTGTTGTGAGGATAATGTGGAGAGGGAGACAACCCTTGAGTTTCTTGGAGGAAGAGTGGCATATAAATTTCTTCTTCTTCATCATCATCTTCGTCATCTTCATCTTCTTCTGGTGTTCTGGAAGGAACAACTGACATCACTAGTCCCTTCCATGGTCCTACAGTATAAAAGCTCTTCAAGATTAGCTTGTTTGATTACTCTTACCATGTTGCAGAAAACAGAAGGGACCATCCCAAACATGCTATTAAAAAGTCTTTAATGCAATCATCCAAGAATAACCCAACATATTTCAACCTAGCAAAACACCATATTGTCACTAGAGAAATGGATTTCCTTATGTTTTTTGCAGACATAATATGGGTGCAGGGGAGAGGGGAAGTTTCACACATCTTCACCTTTATTTGTTATTCTCTTTTCAGTAAGTACAATGAGTTTATCCCAACACCAGTTAACAATAGAAGTAAACCCCAAGAAACTATTTGTATTTTTCACACATCTCTTCTCACCCCAATCCATACTGTGTCTTCCAGGGCTGACAATCAGCAGTCCCTGGATATCCAGACTGCAAGGACAAATAGACTTAATTGATGAATGAGTCTCTGCTTTGCTGATATGACCTCCCATCTATCAGGCAGGTGATCACACAGCAGGCAAAGCCAAAGGACTAATATTCACCATTGCTCATGTGTGTGTGTGATAGCTCATCTGATAATTCTCAGTTGCTCTTTGCAATGCTTCCAAAAGTTCCCCTCAAACCAAAATGCTTCCCAGATTTTGGATTTCCAAGTTATGGTCCTGTATTGGAAATGAAGCTAATAAGAACATAAGAAGAGACCTACTGGATTCAGCCAGTGATCCATCTAGTGAACATGCTGTTCTCACGATAGCTAACCAGATGCCTATGGGAAGCCTGCAAGCAGGACATGAGTGCAACAGCATACTCCCAACTTGTGATTCCCAGCAACTGGTATTCAGAGACATACTGCCCCTGACAGTAGGGACAGAACATAGTCATCATGGCTAGTAGACACTGACAGCCTTATGTTAATGATACACACACACACACACACACACACACACACACACACTTGCCACAAAGGTGCTGTGCATACAGCTGCTTGCAGCTTTCAGTTCTTTCACTTCATTCATTATTTCCTCCCACTCCAGAGATTACTGATACACATATTTACATTGATTACAAAAAAAGGGAAAAGCTAGCTTGATGTTTTTGTACGCATGACAGCCTCATTATTCTGTTCCTATGTGGTGTTTTACTAATATACAGGAATGCCCATGTTCAGCATCAAAACACCACCCAAAATAGCACTTTTCTTGGCCTTAGCCTGATTAGTGGTGGGGGTGGGGGGTGGGGAGGAAAGACAATGGAGACTCTGGGCCGAAGCTGATGGAAGTCAGAGTCTGGAACTGGGGTGCCAACCTGAATAAAATATATTTTTTTGGGGAGGAGGTAAACCCCACCCCACATAATCGATCACATGACACAGCACATGCATACCATTTGAATGGCAGTGCCCATTACCTTTTGGGAGAGGCAGCCCCCTCAAATATTTTATTGTTATGGCCAAAGGGACTGGGTTGGCTGGGTTGTTATGGGTTGGCTCCTATGGAACCATGTAAATCTTCTCTTCCCAGAACTAGCAATGTTTGCTAGGTTTTGTGACTCCCACCTTTCTGCCCTAAAGTGAGCAGTGTAAGTGCCATTTTGTCCCCATTTTCAGGGTACACTACAGCTGCTGCTGGGAAGACTGTGGTCTTTGGGTTCACAGCCTTTATCTATCAGATGAGTTTATGGTCCATGTGTGTGTGTTTTATTCACTCTGTTTCATTCTCTCTCTCTCTCTCTCTCTCTCTCTCTCTCTCTCTCTCATTTGAAAAACACCAAATATCAATTTGTTTCCACCTTGTATATTTTGGGAGCTCAAGTACTGCTCAGTATGCTGCTGACCTTTTTAGTATTCCATATTTTGATTATCCACCCATTTCCCTCTTTCCTGCAGGCACTTTGGGTCTATGAACACAGTAAACAGGCAGGATATGCTCAACCTAATAAATAGGTTGTAACAGTGCAACAGAACTATAACCATAATTTACAATATATGATGCATCCAAATGTTTCAGCTCTCAGTTTTTGTTACCAACTTGCCAAATGGGAAGAAAGCTGAGAGAGAATAGATCAGACAGTGTCAGTATTGGGCAAAGGCGGGGACAAAGGGAGGGAGAATTTTCACTAGGACGGATTTATTGTAAGGAGGTACTTGGAGAAATGAAATGTAAGTGCATAGCTGCATATTTACATCACAGGTCTTGCCAAATAGATTTTGCTGCCTAAGACAGACAATATGGTTCCCCTCACAACTCCATATACGGAAGTTAAGTAGGCTGGTAGTTTGACTCTTGTTTCAACTGTGGTGATGGGATGACATTCTCCACCACACCTGAGGCAGCAGGTTTTATGGTGGGGGGGGGCCAGAAGAGGCCACGTGGCAACAAAGATGAATAGTAGGGGATTCAAGATAAATAGGTAAGGGTTGCTCCTGCTGCTTCTGAGCATCTGCACCAAGACAGTTATCTTACTCTGCCTTAATGAGTTTCGGTTGTATGTTTTGATTGGTTGGTTCCACATGTGCCCATGTTTTGCATGCTACACGTTTTTCCCTTGAAATGTGATGGATTGTTGAACAATTTCAGATCCACATTTTAAAACTGTTGGGTTTGTTGGTCAAATAGCTACTAAAAACTTAAAGTAAAATAATTTCGCATGGAATGGTTATAGTTCCAAGGCTACAGGAATCAACATCTGAGCATGTACAAAGATGGTGGTGGTGATTTATACTGAGTCATGCTGAATGTTTGTGTGCACAAGCTACAAATTAACATGTAATCAAACTGAATTTAAATTATGAGAATATTACAGTTCACTTGAGAGAGATTCAGGCTCAGCACACATCAGATTCAACCTCTAAACTCACCAAGTAGGAGATTTGATGACAGAAATCACTTTGTGACTTAAGAGTTAACTTGAGGTAATTCTTTTAGTGTTAAAGTCAACTAGCCAAGAAGGGGCTAGTTCTACATTTTGTGTAATACATTTTAATTACATTTTTATTCCATCTGGAGGACATATTTTTCATGTCTTTTATTAAGACTCAAAACAACCCAGTGGGCTAGGCTAACAGATAGTCACTTCTAGATACTAGCCAGCCATAAAGGCTACTAGCAATGATGGCTATGCTCTGCCTCCACAGTTAGAGTCAGTAATGTTTCTGAATACCAGCTGCTGGAAAGCACATGAGGGAAGAGTGTTCTTGTTCTTAAATCCTGCTTGTAAGTTTACCATTTGGCTACTATGAGAGCAGGATGCTGGACTAAATGGGACATTAGCCTGAGCCAGCAGGCTCTGCTTGTATTATAATGGCCATTACAAAACCACCCAGAAATCTTTGAGGCTGAAGCAAGGATTGCTTTGTACATCTTTGAAGCCTGGGTCCAATGGTTGCATTCAGTGCTAGTTCTACTCAGAGCAGACACATTGAAATTAATGGACATGACTAATTTAGGTACATTAATTTCAATGGATCTACTCCCAAGTAGAACTTGGATACAACAACATTACTCTAATCACTACACAACACCAGCGCAGTAATGAATGAAACACCTGCAAGACCAGACCAAATCATCAACACAAGAGATGCAGCAATGTCTTACAGTGGCTTACACTGGGGATGATGTGGGCTTGTTATTCTAAGCAGGTTGCCTTATTTCATTTCATTTTATTGTTAGAATAATCTAGTGTACCAGAAAAGCTCAAAGGCACTTTCCACATATTCATCCTTTAAAGATCAGCTTTATCTCTTCCCTTTGCCTCTGGTTAATTCTTTTCTGTCTTCACAAAAGGATGCCTTATTGCACCTGCAGCATCATATTTGCAGTCAACAACACAAACAGCTCTTTTACTTGTAAAATTCATTTGCCGCCATCCCCGTCTTTGTTTGCATCTGTGCAATTATCTCCCCTGCCCCGACACATAGATACATTTTTATTTTATTTTTTGGTCATCAAATACTCAGACTGGTAAAAGCGTGCCAAAGTATTCTTTGATCCAGGAGAAACAAAGCAGGCACCCCTTCCTGTGGTGCTGAGTGGGTGGCTCTGGAGTCATCCATGTCAGTAAAGTATAGGTGGAATCTTCTTTGTAGGAATATTTCATCCAATCATTACCCAAAGGCTGTGGCTTTTGTAGAACTAAATCTCTGTGGGGTCTCTAAAGTGGAAACAAAAATCTTTGTGTGACTAAAGGCTAAAACAAAACTGCACACTTCCAATTGAATCAACAGTGAAGCTACCTTTATTCCCTCTCTTACGTTTGTAACAGACATGGGATGTCATGTGGGAACTATTGTCTTAGATTTTCCTTGGCAGTGAGAGTCAAGTCTTGGCATGATTTGACCTTAAATACAATGCTCTTTAGCATTTTCATAACCACCTTTAACCCCAATCTGCACTATGGGACCCCTTTAAAATGAGTGCTATATACTGCTATGAACTTCCTTTTTCCATAGGTTTTGTTTCCTTTGGTTTGAAGTGCATTGCATATTATATCAGCAGCAGCAGCAGCAGCAGCAGCAGGAGTGTACAATAAGAACAGCAAAAACAAAAACACAAAAGAGCAGATACATTTAAAATAAAACCAAACAAAAACAGTGTGAAGTAGACATTCATGAAAAACCAACACATTATACTTGACTTGGCAGCTAATTGGCAGCTGATGCAGTGCCTTTAACATTGGTCTCATGTGTCCATGGTAGGAAACCTCACATAGCAACCTAGCCACTTCATTCTGTGCCAGCTGCAGCTTCCAAGCCAAATATAAGGGTATCCCCACATAATGTGTATTGCAATAAACCCATCTTGTTGCTATCAGCACATGGCTCTCAGTTGCTAGGCTATCCCTGTTAGTCATTGCTGGAAGGCCATCCAAAGCTGATAATTGGTGCTCCTTGTCATTATGGTTGCCTAGCACTTCAGTGATAGAGATAGATTCACAATCACCTCAATACTATGTACCTATCCCTTCAGAGGGAGTGCAGTCTAAGACAGGTTAATCTAAAACAGGTTAATTCCGTAGCTCCCAGATTTAGGAACAACGTACTCAACATGCATTCACCTCATCAGGATTCAACATCAGTTGTGTTGTCTGCCTCTGCGGTCTCCAGCTCAGAAATACTAGTAGAACCCATCCTCTCTGATGGAGCTGGTGACTGTTAAGAGTAAATTAAGACACTTTAAACAATGAGGCATATTTTAAAAATGATGAGGCATTAAAAATGAGGCTTCTCTCACTGAAGGCAGAACTGGCAACTCATACAAAAGTGCAGCTCCTATTTAAAGCTTGTCCAGCAGGAAGTAAACGGCATTTCCGTGCACTGCTCTGGTTCACCAGAAACAGCTTAGTCATGTTGGCCACATGACCCGGAAGCTGTTCACCGGCTCCCTCGGCCAGTAGTGCGAGATGAGTGCCCCAACCCCAGAGTTGTCCGCAACTGGGCCTAATGGTCAGGGGTCCCTTTACCTTTACTTGATGTTTATTGGTGCTGAAATAACGTTTGAGGTTTGCTCTTGGCTTATCCAGTCTAAGCCCTGCATGGAACTCTCCAAGGTGCTGGATGCATTTCCTTAGGTAAAGGGACCCCTGAACATTAGGTCCAGTCGTGACCGACTCTGGGGTTGCGGCACTCATCTTGCTTTATTGGCCAAGGGAGCTGGCGTACAGCTTCCAGATCATGTGGCCAGCATGACTAAGTCGCTTCTGGTGAACCAGAACAGCGCACGGAAACGCTGTTTACCTTCCCGCTGGAGCGGTACCTATTTATCTACTTGCACTACTGACGTGCTTTCGAACTGCTAGGTTGGCTGGAGCAGGGACCGAGCAACGGGAGCTCACCCCATCTAAGCCCTGCATGGAACTGTCCAGGGTGCTGGATGCATTTCCTTACCAGAATGCTAAACCTTGCCCTCCTTCGCTTTGAATCTCTCTGACTGTCATAACTGTCAAATTGCTGAAGCTGTTGTTTAGAACCAAACAACCTGTGGCTCATGCTCATAGTGGTGAACCACAGTTTTCCATCACATCTGAATCCAACCACTGTTATTTAATTCCATTGTGTTTTCAGATGGGACTAATCACCCACTAAGGTGTTAAGAGTGAACTCTAACTCTATGACAACTCTCCTAGAATCCCTAGCTTGGGATTCCAAATAAATGGCAGTATTCCATCAATGCATTGATGGAAATGAGTTATTTTATCTCCCAAATTATTGTTGGCTGTTACCCTGTTTGATTAAATGCTTAGTTAGGTTCATTTATCCAAATAAAGTAATTGCTTACCATTTTTCCAATCATGTATTTGGTTCCCTTGAGGCTCAGACTAACATCTACTCCACATTAGGAGTGTTGCTGCAGTCTGATGGCCTCCCAGTGGACCTTAGTACTCTGATTATTTTTTAATGAGAAAATCAGCAAAATGACAATCACCAAACAAATATAAGTAATGCTAGTAATACACATAAATGTCACAAATGTTTCTAGAAGTTTCTGTAGAGCTATCAGAAGTCTGCAGGAGCATCAGAGTGACACTTGCACCACAAATCTGATTGCAAATAATGCTTATCTGAAGAGCCTTTATGGGTAACAATCTCTTTCTTAAACCTAAGATTTCCCTTAGTATATTACACACGACAGCTCATACAGTGAAAGCTTATATTTAGTTGATCTTAAAGGTGCCACTGGAATTATTAAAAAAGATTTTTTCATCTTTCATCTTGTTATTTATTATGACTGAGATTTCCCTGTAACAAATGTGCCGAGATGCCACAGAGGCAAGACCACCCTGCAGTGCTTCTCCATTACTTGTAGCTGCCACCACCCACTACCAATTCACCCAAGATTTGGGCAATACTGTGGCAGAATATTCCTGCAAAGTCCAAGTACAGTGCATCTTAAATGTTCTTTGGTGGTGGCTCTCCTACTGGTCCCGCCTTGGCATACAGCTGAGGTGAAACACATCATGGGAGTGGGATCAGTGTGGCCCTTCAGATGTTGCTGGACTGCAACTCCCATCATCCCTGACCACTGGCCATGTTGCATGGGCTTTCTGAGAAATGGACTTAGAAAGCCTTCTTATATATCATCCATCCTGCGCACTGCAGTTGACAGGATGTGCTTGTGTTGCCCCACTGGTAGACTTGGTCCACAAGTCAGTGATATGTTTGCAAATTTTAGCTGAATTCAGACAACACTGTATTCAATTTCCCAATATTTCTTTATCTGTTAATTTTTGCATTTTATGTGATTTTTCACACAATTTAAACACTACTTATAGAAATCTAGCAGAATCTAGTGGAAATTTAGTGCTCATTTCCATGTAAATTGCTTCCAGATAAATCCATTTGCAACCCTGTTAACCCAGAAAATCATGGGAGTATTGTGCTGTAATTGCACCACAGTTTTAGATAATAGAAAAATAAAAATCAGGTGTGCTTGAAGCACCAATAATTCTGTGTGATAATTGTGCTTGACCCAGATCTCACTAACTTATTCATGTGTGTTTTGTTTTTTGGAAAGGTGGGGACACTGAGTTTCCAAGTTGCTCTTAGCTGTGGCTTAGGAAAATCTCTCCGTTTCTTGTTTTCAGATCTTCAGTTTAGCTATCCACATACCCACATCAGCTTGATTAAAAAAAGTTTTTCTGAAACTATATCAACATTTTGGTGTGCATTTTTCCAAATATACTTGTTTTTGCATGCAATATTACCTAATAGATTTTTTTTTAAAAAAAGCAATTTCCACTAATATATGCACTGTTATGCACACCTAGTATATGCATTTTTGTACACTTTATTTGACAGGGAAAAAAATGGATTGCAAAATTCAGAGAAGTGTGAATTTCAAAGGATGGCTGTGTTTCAGTTTGCCTAATGCTTCAGAAAGTGCAAATTAGGTAGCTTTGCTTTTAAAAGCCAACTGAATTGAATTTATTCCCCATCCTTAGCTTGACTGTTGACTTAAATACTGGGCCTCTGCCTGCCTCCCTTCCTGCCTGCCCACCCTCCTTCAGAGACCGGGAAGACCATTCACCTCCTCACTGCAGGAGACAATAGAGATCATAATTTTCACAATTCATCACTGCTAACCACAATTGCTGTCATTGCTGCATTAGAGACATCCTCTTGTATTAATTTTGACTGATTTGCTATTTGTTTGAAGAGATACCTCACAGGCTGAGAAAACATTATCCTTTCAGCTTAGGGAGAAATACGTTTATCAGCATTTTGGGGAGAATGCAGCTTTCCCATGTTTAAAAGAGGTGTGCTTTCTCTGTTATTTATCATCCTGCCGACTGCTATGCTGCATATGAAACAATCTAAGACCCACATACATTCTCTGCATCCAAGGGAAATTTGCTGCTGGACAAAGACAATTCAAAATTTCCTCCATTATATTTTTTATATTTATGACAATGGTTCCTATTCCTTGAAAGCATAACCCATTGTCAGTAATATACAATAAAGAATATTATACAGCGACAGCACATAATTCAGCTAGAAATTAACTTTCCAGATCCTCTGAGTGTGAAGCACCATTTGCTTCACCAAGTGAATAGCTCTGAGATTTGAAATTTATTTCTCCATGCCCCTTCTCTACTCTAATTTTCACTCTGCAAAGAAATGGGATTGCTTAAAAAGAAGAGATGACTAAATGCACTTCAAACTAATTGTTTAGGAGATTAGGGTGTACCATTCCTCAGGTGCTGGATGGAAGCCAAGCAAGATGGAAAGCTGATTATGAATACCCTTGTCCCATAGAGCTGAACACTGTTCGCCATGCATTATCTTCACACTCTATTTAACTTGGGTTTTTTCCCCCTGTAGCACATCCCCAGCATTGTCTAAAACTTGGGTGGGAAACCTGTGACCCTTCAGGTGTTGCTAGATTACAATTCTCATCCTATCTAGGGTTGTGCTGGCTCAAGCTGATGGGAGTGGGCATCCCACTTCTTCTTGAGGGCTACAGGTTCCCACTCCTGAGCTAATGGTTAACCAGGTTTCTCTAGCTAGGCAGGTGTGAGGGCACATTCACACCATACCTCTAAATCACCATAACACCACTTTAAACAGGCATGGCTTCCTCCAAAGAACTGTGGGAGCTGTAGTAAAACTGTAAAACTGTAAAAGGGTGCAGAGAGTTGTTAGGAAACCCTGCCCTCCCTTCACAGTGCTATGATTCCAAGAGTTCCTTATGAAGAGGTATTGATTCTTAAACCAACCTGAAATTGTAGCTCTGGGAGCAGAATAGGGGGTCTTTTAACAACAGCTCCCATGATTCTTTTAGGGAAGCCATGACTGTTTAAAGATGTATCATAGTACTTTAATTGTATTGTGTAAAGGTGGTGTAAGTTTGTCAAACCTGGATCATAACCAGATGAAACCACCTGGGAACCAGTGATGTATTGATCAGTCTACTTCCATCAAGTTCAGCTTGGCATTAATACCCATAGGTTACAATCCTATACACAAAGTGCACCTGTACCCATGCCTACTCTGAAGTAAGTACTATTTAATTCAGTGGGGCTTACTCTTAGGCAAGAGGGGTTAGGATTGCATCCTTCTCTGAGAGGAAGTCCCATTGAACCCTATGGAGCTATACTTCTGTATAGGCATGCAGGGTTAGTCTTGATGAAGCTCTCATTGACAGATGTAAACTATGCAACCAGATTGCCCAAATAAACAAATTACATTGGATATCTCTGTTCTTATATTTGCTTAATGCTAACATTTTATGATTGCTGTACCACATTCAGATCTAACCCTCTATTATCCCTGAGAATTTTGCCATTGGAAAGTGTGGGGTGGTACTGACTTTCCAAATTAATCTCAGGCATGAGTTGTAGTAGAAACTAATTATTTGGGGCTATATGTTAGCTAGGGCTATGCACAGATGCTGCCACCCCAATCCACTCCATGGCCTTGAGCTGCAATCAGGCCAGTTTGCCTTTTGCCCTCTGGATTCATCTCTCAAACAATATGGGAGTTGGGGCTAAGGATTTTTAAAAGATTTACAAACCCTTAAAATGTGGGGGTGCATGGCACCATGTAGAATCAGAGCCTCCTGCTTAAAAGCTGCTAAGTGAGGATCCAGTCCTGCATAGTGCTGTTTCACAAGCTGCTTTCCTGGAGGAAATCCACTTGAGAAGCACCATTCACACCACAGAGGGTGAGTATTTATGCTGTGGGATGGGACATCAGGTAGAAAGGAGAGCCATGGTGTTGGACCTACTTTCTGCCAGGAAGACGCAGACAGCAGTCAGGTAGGACTCAGCCTTTTTCATGACCTGTCTTGCCTCTCCTTCCTGTTGGCAGTCAAAGATCCCTCTGGGCCAACCCACCCCAACTTGCAGCAATCCTTTGCTGCTTGTACCCCATACATCCTAACGATAGCTGTGTGCATTGGCCACATGATTTGACTTATACCCTTATACCTGTAGCTAAGGGTCTGCCTTGCACCCCAGTCTGCCTTGGAGTCACTCCATGTTTTCCCATTTGAATCATTATTTGGGACTGAATTAGATCTGTTAAAAGGGAAGCTCTGTGCTCACCCCCCATTTACTATAATTGTGAATCAAAAAATGTCTATAACAATGCTTCCCTTTCCCCAGAAATGGATGAAATTTGCATCCCTCACAAGTGGATTAACCTCAACCCAAATGCAAGAAGATGCACCCAAAGTTTGAGGTGTGTGTTGTTTTTGTTTTGCACATTTATTTTTTATTTAACAAGGTACAAATTTTGATTTTCTGCCAGAAGTGGATGCCATTTCCAGGTATGGCCACCCCTTCTGAGGGAGTGAAACCTGCCAAATTTCAGAATGATATCTACATTGGTTCTTCCACAAGGACAAACTTTACCATTTTAGAGTGCATATACGAGGAAATCTTGAGGATGCAAAAAATAGCTTGGAACACCGGAAAGACTGGAGTAAGTGAAATGTCAAACCCCCACCCCACCCCAACCCCGACAGCTTCCTCGTGACAAAAACTGTGATTGCAAAAAGGCTCCATTGTTACACATATTTATGCTCTTTTAGCATGAAAACTAAGTTGTAAGCTTACTTGGAGTTGAGGCATTCAAGTGCAATAATGC